CTGGCAGCCTTGCAACTGGCACAAACTGTGTAGCCAGCCCGTGGCCCTTTAAGGGCTCCGGGGCCAGGAGGGGGGCAATAGAGTTTCCCTGGTGTTGGCCAGAATGGCCACCAGGGAAACCTGGGAAGGATTAGCCTCCCACTAGTTCGAATTAAGGGTCTACACAGCCCTTAATTCGAACTAGCTAGTTCGAACTAGGCTTAATCATCGTAAAATGAGGTTTACCTAGTTCGAACTAAGCACTCCATTAGTTCAAATTAAGTTCGAACTAACGGAGCGCTAGTGTAGCGCCTAGGAAAGATAGTTCGAACTAACGTCCGTTAGTTCGAACTAAGGGTATGTCTACACTACCCCGCTAGTTCGAACTAGCGGGGTAATGTATGCATACCGCACTTGCTAATGAAGCCCGGGATTTGAATTTCCCAGGCTTCATTAGCATAAGCGGGGAGCCGCCATTTTTAAATCCCCGCTGCTTCGAACCCCGTGTAGCGCGGCTACACGGGGCTCGAACTAGGTAGTTTGGACTAGGGTCCTATTCCGAACTACCGTTACTCCTCGTGAAACGTTACTCCTCGTGGGCACTCAGGGCACTTCAAGCCAGGACTGCTTTGCAAGCGGGGAACCCCTGAGAACTGTCTGTCCGAGGTGGGGGTCGGGTCCCTTTAAGCACAGCCCTTGGCTAGCCTGAGACAGCAGCTCCATGCTCTAAGTCCTAATCTGATGCCCTGCCGGCACTGCTTCCGGCCATCCTTAACCTTGTTTCAGGGTCCACTCAATGTGGACATGCTAGTTCGAATTAGCAAAATGCTAATTCGAACTAGTTTTTAGGTCTAGATGCACTAATTCGAATTAGCTTAGTTCGAATTAACTAATTCAAATTGTTAGTTCGAATTAGTGCTGTAGTGTAGACATACCCTGAAGTATTATAGGTGGGGAGACTGGGATCAGCTGTGTGGTGCTGCCCCTTTGAAATGCCACAGCATAATTTGTACACATTTTAATAGTTTCTTGTGAAGATTTTATCTTCGTCTGGATTGTTGAATATTAACTGTGGCTAAAGACTGATCCGCTCCATTCATGCAGATACTCAATGGAGTTCTTTGTAATAGTATAAACCGTAATATGGGGTTATTTTAGTAACTAGCTCAAAAAAGCTATTACAAGTGATGGGGAACACTGAGGAAATGCCTTGGCTACCCAGTTTCAAGGAGGAGCTCTGAAAATTAATCTCATTTAGCGTAAGTACTATATGATCTGGTTTAATTTCATGATTCGGCATACTTTATGATTATTTCCTGAAAAATGAATTATTCATATTATTATTATTTCTTAATTTATTATGGGTTGATATCTAGAAGTCCCAATCATCTTATAATCTAAATATAAGATGAAACTATACTGTATCCCAACATTATTAATAAGGCTTCAGTTTCATGACATCGTATACATTATTCCCAACACTTTAATGTCTATTTCTAAGGTATCAAAATAAGTAATAATGTAAAATGAGTATTCCTGCTTAGTCGGGTACAACATTGGAAATCAGGATTTCAAACATAAGACTAATTATCCCTCATTATCATATTGAAAACACAGAACAGATCCTCACCCAAGCACCCTCCATTTGGGAAACCATTGGAGCCACTTTGTCTGGCATGTAAAGGAAAAGAAAGAAATACAGGATGCAATGACCTGATGAGATGATGATAAACTTGGTCTTGGAATGTGCGAGTAGCTTTTTTGTTGTTGTTGTTGCAGTAACTGGAGTCCTCCCTCTGGGGTTACTTTTCTGGCTGATGTGGGAGAGATTGTGATGAGCCACACGAAAACAAACATTTTGTTTAGAAAAAACTTTAAAAACAACAAATAGACTAGTAGCACCCTTAAAGACTAACAAAACATGTAGACTCAGTACCCCTCTGAAGATTGTGTTTAGAGTACAGCTTTAGGGTTTTTTTAATTGCAATGTGTTGCAGTTTTGATTTTTTTTCTTTAAAACCACATGAACTTACAGCGAGCATGAACAGAGTTCAATAATAGTCATGTGATCATAGGCTCACTGGGTCAGGGTTTGCAAAAGGGAACTTTTGGGATCGTTGTAAGTATACGAGTATGGAAATGGCTTTGGTGAATAATGTCTGTGGTTTAGAAAAAAAACGCCTCTTAAATAAGAATTTGGGTTTTGAAACTGATGATGAAGCATTTTCCCTTCCACATATTTTCCCCATTGGTGGATTCCTGTGGAGGGAGGGCAATGCCTGTCCGTGAATCCAGGTAGCACCGACCTGAGATCTGTAGGCTAAATAGTCACAGGGGAGGTTCCCAGCTGCATGCACTCAGGGCCTGATGCAAAGCACTATGAAGTCAATTAAAGTACTTCAGTGGAGAAGGCCATTGATGGTGCATGTCAGATGGTGGTATGTAATTCGTTTTGCCACAGCACTCCGAGCTGCACTCAGGGACCAGGATCCCTTGTACTGTACTAGGTGCTGCACAAACCTAGAACAAAAGGCTGATACCCGCCCCAAAGAGATTATGTAACCATTTACGTCACAATGGCTTTCTTAGTCAAATGAAGGGCTAGAAATATTTATGTAACTGAAATTGTACATTCTGATGAATAAAAATCTAGCAATCTAAATTCTTCTTATCCAGTGATGTCTACTGCCCATAAGTACAGGTTAAAGCTGTGGTAGCAGGCCTCTGATTTCCAGGTGCCTCTGAGAACATGGAAGTCCCACACAACTTTCCTAGTGTACAGCCCAAGATCAATTAAAACAAGTTATGTTTCCTGGTAATATAGTCACGGTGTGTACATTTTGTTTCAGACTCTCAAATCTATAAGTACTAAAGTGCCTGGGAACAAAGCCATTGAGGAGAACAAAAACAGGTGTGTGATCAACTAAGTACTGAAAATGCTTTAAAGCAGGGGTGGGCAAATACCACCCTGCAGGCTGGATCCGATCTGCCAGGGTTAGCCTCTCATGGGCTGCCACCGCTATATTTACCTGCGCCTCGACAGCAGATACGGGTGATTGCAGCTCTCACTGGCCATGGATCGCTGTTCCTGGCCAATGGGAGTTGCAGAAAACAGTGCCTTGGTCCATGCTCTTTCCCACAGCTCCCATTGACCAAAAATGGTGATTTATGGCCAACGGGAGCTACAATTGCCAGTACCTTCGGAGGTGCAGGTAAATATAGCAGCTGTTGTCCATCAACGGCTAACGCTGGCAAACTGCCACTGTTTTATTGCCACCCTTGCTTTAAAGAATCATATTTGTCAAGCATTCCTTCATGTGCTCCTTCCTGATGTCTCTCTTCACTTATTTAGAGCACTTTGTTACAAAAATCCAGGCTGTCCTCGGGCCTGAGAGATTTATTCAAGGTAACATTATAGAAAATGCTTATTTTCCATTGTATCAGTCTCATTCTGAGGCCAAATGACACTCTCTTCAGTTTCTGTACCAACCAATATGCTTGTGTTTTGTTTTTACTAGCCATAGAGATCTCTTTTAGAGGACAACAATAGACTATTCCTTCTTGTACCAAGTTTTCTTTTTCCAATGCCCAGAGAAATCTGGAAACTACCTCACCTCACTTCAGCAGAACTCCCATGATGTCTACTCTTGATCCCATTCACGTTGTCTGTGATTGTGTGAAGTAACTATACATTTGGACTCTGACCAGGGGTGGGCAAAGGGGCCTTCATGGTCCAGATCTGGCCTGCCAAGCGGGTGGATCCACTCCTCTGCCCCCAGCCACCCTGCCACTCCTCTGCCCCCAGCCAATCGAGACAGGGAGCCGGGAGAGCATGTGAAGTCTCCGCCACCCTGCCCGGGGCACGCAGCAGCTAGAGAGAAACGCTGGCTGTTTTAAAACAGCCGGCATTTCTCTCTAGCTGCTGTGCACCCCTGGCAGGGCAGAGGCAGGGGACAAGAGACTTCATGCGCTTCCCCACCACCAGGCCAATCAGGCACTGTGGGGGTGGGGAAGAATGAGAAGTCTCCTGGCCCCAGTCCTTCCGCTCAAGGCCCCTTCCCTTCCAGGGCAGCCCAGGGACACTTGAGAAATGTATGAAGTGGCCCCCTTTTAAAAATTATTGTCCACCCTGACCCTGATCCTTCTATGACCACGGTAATTGCAAGATCAGGACCTTAGTTACCCTCCTTATTTATTATATGTTCAGTAACTTATCACTTCAGCGTTACTCCATGATAATATAGGTTCATATTTAGAATCATTGCTGTTTCTTCATAAGAAGGGCCATATTGGGTCAGACCAAAGGTCCATCTAGCCCAGTATCCTGTCTTTTGACAGCAATCAGGTACCCCAGAGGGAATGAATAGAACAGGAAACCATCAAGTGATCCATTCCCTGTCATAGAATCATAGAACACTAGGACTGGAAGGGACCCCGAGAGGTAATCGAGTCCAGTCCCCTGCCCTCATGGCAGGACCCAGTACTGTCTAGGCCATCCCTGATAGACATTTATCTAACCTACTCTTAAATATCTCCACACATGGAGATTCCACAACCTCCCTAGGCAATTTATTCCAGTGTTTAACCACCCTGACAGTTAGGAACTTTTTCCTAATGTCTGACCTAAACCTGTCACCCATTCCCAGCTTCTGGTAAACAGAGACTAGGAACACCATTCCGACCCATCCTAGCTAATGAATTTATAGCAGAATATAAAAACTAGATGGTCTTGGCTTTCACAACATCCTCTGGCAAAGAGTTCCACAGGTTGACTGTGTATAGTATGAAGAAATGCTTCCTTTTATTTGTTTTAAACCTGCTGACTATTAATTTCATTTGGTGACCCCCTAGCTCTTGTGTTATGAGAAGCCGTATGTAGCATTTCCTTATCTACTTTCATAACTTGGGGCAGAAAGCTGGTGTATATTCCTCTTCACTTTGAGGAAAGGGATGCATTTTATGAGCTTACACTGTACAGGTCTCTGTGCAGTACAAAATGATATAATTTTGGGTACCCTTCAAAGGCGAGGTGACTGCTCAAATGGGAGGGTGACTTCAGTAACTCAGCTCTTTATCTGAGTCTTCACAGAACTGATCTGTGACATTGCCTGAATGTCTCCTGGAAGCGGCTTGAGAGCCTGCCACAACAGTACTTTGTAAAAGGAGCCCAGGCTGGGGGCTCAGTGGTACCCCACTTTCAAGTGGTACCCCAAGAGGAACCCATCACAGGAGGATTGATAGGCAAACCACAAGTGAGCTAGCTTTGCTTTTTGCTAAAGGCCTACAACTCCTGCAGAAGGGCATAGTACTAAAGGGACAATTTGCTGATGGGCTTAAAATCAAAGACCAGGACTTCTTTTATGATCTTTTCAACTAGGCATCCAAAAATTACAGCATCCAAAATTATCAGCTACTTTTGAAAATTTTGATGTTGGAGGGCAGGTCACTGTGAGGTCAAACCAAACTGCTAATGAGTTCACAGAATCTATTCTACCAAAAAAAAAATCCAATCAATATATTGGATTTCCCATAGAAAAACTACACCAGTAGCAACAAGCAATACACAGAATTTATACCAGTTTGAGTTCCATTGATTTTTTGAGTCTTTTATTGCACACACATTCTCACTACCCGCTTACTAATGGAATATTAACAATTCCTTGGGGTCATTCTAGGGACATGGGGGTAGTAGTATTGGGAGCGATCTTTAAACCCCCATTCACTTGTTTCTATAGGTTCCAATATAACAGTTGAGAACCCTGCACAGAAGGAAATAATCAGATTCTGGAACCAGAATCTTTCCTTGCAGTAACATCATTTGCAGTGGTGCAGAAGTTTTCCTCTCAGGCTTGGATTTCCAGGACCCTTTCCTATACACACAACTAAGTCTGATGCAATGCAACTAGCTTAGGCTTGTGCTAAACCTCACTTTTCAATTAGTATTATCTTGCATTTTTATGCAGAATTGCTCTGGCAGAAATGTTGGTATTTCAGCTGTTCAAAAAAAATCTGTCAAGCTATTTCTTGATGGTATTTTTTTTAAATGTCCATTTTCATCAATTTGGGTTAGATTGACCTTTTTTGGTTTTTGTCCCAAATTTTTCAGTTTCAATTTTTCACAGACAGAGAAAAAACACATTTCCAGCCTGCCTTAATTAGCATGGAAAGTTTCCTTAAGTTGTTAGTTTAACAATGATAGCTAACATTGGTTGAACTGTTCATTTTAAATATATTATGTGATGAATTTAGCCCTTTTTTTCCCCACAATCAATTTGCAAATTGATCCTGTATTTTTACAAATATATTTATTTACAAGTGTTCAGAGAATGGCCCATGCATCTTCTCTGTCAGGCAGACTAACCATCAACTATTCCATCAACCTTATACATGTTGTATGGATATTTGTTGGAGATTGTTTGTTGCTTTATGGGAAAGATAGCTTCCCTATCTTTCCCATACAGATAGGGAAGGGGGTGATTAAAGCACATTCTTAGGCTTGTAACAAATTTGAAGAAGGAGGAAGTTTCCAATACTTCTTTGATCCACCTGGGTCAAGAGATGCCTTCAAAGAATTGAAAACTGTATGATGTGACTACCATGGTGTAAGGAGAGATGTTAGGTGCAGGTTCACACACCCTCCAAGAACTGACATAAGACAATAGACCCAAGTGATAGGCCTTGCAAGAAGTCCTGAAGTACTGTATATTGAAATGTGTCAGGATCCTCATGTGAAGAATGACACAAGGCAAACTAGCTTTGCATGTATGCTCTTTGTTTTCAAAATGTGTTTTCTCCGTAATGACTTGGTCTGGATTAACAATACATTGGTGACCAGCCAGCCTTTATGAAGCAGTTAACCCTGTCATTGTGGGTGTGTCTACACAGCACCCTAAATTCAAAATAAGATATGCAATTTGCGCTAAGCAAATTGTGTATCTTATTTCTAAACTATTTTGAAATAGCTTATTTTGAAATTTGGCGGGTCTACACAGTGCCAGATTTCAAAATAACACACTATTTCAAGCCATCCCTTATCCCTCGTGCAATGAGGTTTACTGGGATGGTGAAATAGTGCGCCCATTATTTTGAAAAATATTTTGAAATAGCCGTGCAGTGTAGACGTACCCTGTGAGAGCAGGACAACAGGTGCAGAACTAAAACCAGACTTGCTGGGGTGATCAGTGACTTGCAGGAGAAACTACAGCCTAAATCCCTGCTCTTGAAGGAGAGTAGCAGAACTCTGTTCCTAGAGAGGTTTCAGACCTCTACATGGTACCTAAGGGTATGTCTACACTACCACCCTAGTTCGAACTAGGGTGGTAATGTAGGCAACCGGAGTTGCAAATGAAGCTCGGGATTTGAATTTCCCGGGCTTCATTTGCATAAAGCCGGGCGCCGCCATTTTTAAATGTCCGCTAGTGCGGACTCTGTGCCGCGCGGCTACACGCGGCACGGACTAGGTAGTTCGGACTAGGTTTCCTATTCCAAACTACCGTTACTCCTCGTATTTCGAAATAGGGGTAGTGTGGGCACTTCACTGCTGCTCTTTCGAAATAACTACTCCCCAGAGTCATTCAAAGTAATTACTCTCCAGTGCTTCCTGGAGCCCATGTGCACATTAAGAGAGTCTGCTTCGGACTAATTTTGAGGCTTCCTTGTAGGGTAGACATGCTATTTCGAAATAATTATTTCGGGAGTTACTATTTCAAAATAGTTACAATTTCCTAGTGTAGATATGCCCTTGTGCTGCAGCCACGCTACGGGATTCTGATGTTGTAGCTATACTGGTGAAAAGCTCCATGTGTGTGTCTCTCCCCCTCTTCCCCCACCTCAAAATCTCTTCCTGAGTGTTCTGCTGCCGCCTCAGACCTAATTCTCTGGCCCACATCTTTTGGCTGTGAACAAAGCGACTCAGGAGTGGGTGGCAACTGCTTTAGGCCTCTAAGCATCTTTACGCTCCTTAATCCTGGGTGAACTGTGCACCAGATAACCCCCCACTATAAATCAGAGTAACCCAAAGCTGCTGTAATTTATATTATCTGCCAATGGCACCAGTGGCATTTTGACAGCCAAGGTTTGCCAAGGTGCAGACATACACCATGTATGTTTCTTTCCCCAGTCGCATCCCCTGCACAGGTAGCCCACAGGGGATTGGCCTGTAAGCTGTTCCACTGGCTCTGTCACTAGATGATCCCTTTATGCTAGATTTTCTTCCCATATTAGATTATGAAGGGGACTTCAAAGTGCCCAGCACTCAGTGTAGGTGTGGCTGTGTCCTAAAACTGACTTTCTCTTTTTCTTCCCAAGTCCTGCTCCTATCCTGCTCTGTCACTACTGAAACATCAACTTTCAACTTCCCCCAAGCTCTCAGTCTTGGTTCTTTCCTTTTCTCTTTGGTTTCTGGCTCTTGCCATACTTGTTATCACTTTCTTTACAACAGGGGTGGGGAACCTCAGAACTTCAGGCCCAGGGGACAAATGCTGCCCCCAGCTTGCCTGGATTCGCTCCCAAGGCTCATGGCCCTTGCCCCAGAATTAGGTAGCCCGTGCTGGCATTCCAGCTGCCTCGCTGCCCCACTGAGGGGCTAGAGCACACAAAATCTACTAGGATGGGCCCACATGGACTCTGGTGTATGAAGGGAATGTGGGGAGTGTCTTTCTCTTCAGTTGGAGGCCACATCAATGAGGGTTTGGGGTTTTTTTCTTCTCACTTGTTTGTGGCCCCCCACCTGATTTCTTTGTGGGTCAGCGGCCCCCAACCCAAAAAAAGTTCCCCACCCCTGCTCTACAACATCTCCAGTACATGCTCCTTCCTCACAATTCCACTTGTCTATGCTCTAGTTATCGCCCACATTTATTGCTGTAACCTCCTCCTTTCCGGCATCACCATCTCTTACCTCTCCACATTTCAGCCCATTCAGTACAGCTCCAGCAAAATACTTTCTTTTCCTGGTTCTTCAATCATCTTCTGGAATTCCCTCTCCTTTCCTGTGTAAATTCAAACTTCTGTTCAGTTTCAAAGTACTTCTAAGGCACATCTACAGTACGTGGAAGATCAACACTTCCCATTAAATCGAACTCAAAGGGTGCCCCCATTGGCACTGGTATTCCTGCTCCTCATGAGGGGTAAGGGAAGCTGACAGGAGCATTAGCTCCTGTTGGCCTCTCGCTGTGTGGACAGCATGAAAATGCAATTTAAGATACATCAACTCCAGCTATACAATTTCCGTAGCTGGAGTTGCGTATCTTACTTCAACCTTCCGCTGTAGTGTACACCAGGCCTTAATTCCACACCTCAGACCAGTGAACAATATAGTTCCAATAACGGACGATTTCTAAAGGTTCTGTTGCACAGTGTCTTGTTAAGCTATGTAACCTATCTAGGATAAATGGTAGACAAATTAATTTATGTCCTTTTCTACAGCTTAGTCCATCCCTCTTCAAATCCCTTCCAGCTCTGTTTCTGTGATTCTACATTCCTTGCCCCTCTTGCTCAAACCTGACTGCTGATTAGCCCTGGATAGAAAATGAATATGTCTCTCTCCCCTCTCCCTGCAAAATTTTAATGGAGATGTCAACTTTTGATCAACCCCCACCTCCAAAAGTGGGTGTCGGGTTTTTGACCAAAACGTCAAAATTCTGTGCAGAAAGCCCAAAACCAAATTTGCTTTAAAAACAAAGCAAAATCCCTTCCAGTTTTCATGGATTTCTTTTTAACAACCCTATTTTACATTGCTCTTCTTTTAATTTACTTACTGCTTCATATTACTTTCCATGTCATACTGTGCCCCTGGAATTTCTTTCTAATCAACGTATCTTTCTACCCTCACCTCCACTAAGAAGCTCCTGAACAATCCACGAGTTCCATGCTGCTGTGAGCAAACAATGCTGTGTTTATTTACATGGTGCTTGTTCATTTTGATACTGTAGTGTACTAAATGGTACCCATTTGTCCTTCTAATCTGTAAATCCCTTAGACATAGGGTTGCCAGATGGTTTCAAAAAGAAAAATACTAGACACACTTGACATTACATCACAATCTACATTACATCTTATTTAGAAAATACCGGACATTTATATTTTCTCATTTATATTTTCTCAATTTGTTTCCTGAACAGAAAGCTCAAATACTGGACTGTCTGGTTCAAAACCGGACACCTGGCAACTCTACTTAGACAGGCCCCTTAGACCTTCTTTGTCTGACCCTCCATTTTGTAAAGTACTGGGTACACCTAATGGCACTATGGGCCTGAGAAACTCCCACTGACTTCAGTGGACACTGTAAGAAGAATTATTAGCAAAAATAAAGAGTAAAATGAAAGATAAATGCAAATAATTATTAATAGCTGGTAAAGGAGAGAGGAGAATAAAAGGGCAATAATGGGGAATTAAATTATTCCTGAAGGACAGTCAAAACAGCTAGGACTTTAGAAACAGTTCACAAAAGGATGTGTGTGTGTTTGTGTATCCAATAAGCCTACTTCTTCTCTACCTTTTTTTATACTGCATTTTTAAGTACGTTAATTAAAAGCTCCCAGCAACATGGAACCTAGCATATTCCTGTAGTTTCTTTAGAGTTGGCATGATGGATTGCTGTGAGTAGTGTTTTGCTTGGCAGGGGGGCCAACAGAATTGTCAGGCCCCTGGACAAGGCGGTGGGGGCGGCTTCGTATTCCTGGAAGGAGTGAGACCTAGGGCGAAAGGGGCAGGGTTGTGGGCTAGCCTCCCCCTGCCATCCCTGCAGCTCCCCCTGGAGCATGCTGCCTGGCACTCCAGTGGGTATTTGAAAGGCCTGGGCTGCAGCAGCCTCCAGGAATTCTGGGTCCTTTTCAATTGCCAGGCCCAGAGTCAATTGCCCCCTTTGCCCACACCCTGTTGACAGGCCTGTTACGTCCAGGAATTCTGGGTCCTTTTCAATTGCCAGGCAATTGCCCGCACCCTGTTGACAGGCCTGTTACCTGGCATGTCACTGAACTGCAGGCTGGTGGATAATGAAGAAATTAGGGATTTGTGAACCAGTTCAGGAAAGTGAACATGTTCCTTCACCTTCAAATCTTCACCCCTTTGGAACTGAATTGAAACCAAACCTTTCCTTGCCTCTGAAACTTGAGGTGCCCGAAGTCTCATGGGAGCTTGTTCTTGTGGGATTTCCAGCCTCATTGTATAGACTCAAGAAGTTCGGGTGAGCATCAGACCCTTTGGAGACCTGACCAAACTAATTCACTTTTTCAGGTGCTCCCAACTAGTAAGGCCTACACAGCTTTGGAATGGATGAAGACAGAAGGCAACATGTCCTGGGGGAAAAGGCACCGGATCAGGTGTCAGAGATGTAGATTTTACTCCCAGCATTGCTGCTTACTTGCTGTGTAACCCTGGGTAAACCACTTCTTTTAGCTGTGCCTGGACTAAGAAAAACGAGCCATGTTGGCAAGCAGATTTTTTTAACACACCTTCCCTCCCCTCCACTCCCACCCAAATGAACTTGAACATAGCGAGCTGAAACATGATCCAGAAAGCAACTCTGCTTTTGGAATTAGCTGTCGTGTGTTCTTGTGGCTTAGTGCACTCTGGCCCCGCACTATTCGTGTTCAGCTTGTTTGAAAATGGCTTTCCCTCCACCATTTCCTAGTGCTAGCATTGCCCATGTGCCCCACAGTTCTGAACTTGCATATGCTACTGAATGGATAACACTGGAGCTGGGCTCTATTGGACATTTACAATGGAGTCACAGCTCCCTGTCGCTATGGAAACTGATTGGTGAAAGGCATGAATAAAAAATAAAAATTAAGAATTGAAACCTGAAACTTCTGCTTTGTTTTCTTTTCTCTCTGTACTGTTCCTATGGGAACAGCTGAGAGCCGCATTTGGAGAGTCCTAGACTTTACAGTAAATCTAACTCCATGTTCCCCTTTATCAGTTACCCACAAAGGAACAATCAGCAATATTCTTAGCAGATTGAGGTAGGCATGAATAAAAAATAAAAATTAAGAATTGAAACCTGAAACTTCTGCTTTGTTTTCTTTTCTCTCTGTACTGTTCCTATGGGAACAGCTGAGAGCCGCATTTGGAGAGTCCTAGACTTTACAGTAAATCTAACTCCATGTTCCCCTTTATCAGTTACCCACAAAGGAACAATCAGCAATATTCTTAGCAGATTGAGGTA